ACGTTTCATATGGCTTTATTCTGGTGATGTTTATGGTGTTTCTGTGTCAAAAAACAACATCAGCTATCACAATCACGCCTGATTTCAATACGGTACAATGTTAGAAGCTGGCTGAGTGTTGTTTGATGACTGAGCCGAGACTTGTCATTTGGAGCTCCGCCTGAATCTTTTCATGGAAAAAACACTGTAGAATGGTCATACTCTGAGCAATCTTCTTCAAATTTGAAACAAGTGTTCATTGATAGTGTGCCTACAGCCCCACAGTGTCATTTACCTGCACAGATGAAGCCACAGTTATTCATATTGAAAAACATTTTTTATTTTATTTTAGGCAAAATCTTCAATTTTTTACTGACTTCAAAGGCCCATTACTCTGTCTCTGTATCACCTAGAGTGTTTCTGACACTTTCACAAGAAACTTCAGGGAGTTTTCTTTCTGGCAAGACCTCATGCATGCATGTAGTCAGCGGTTCAGAAGCTACAGTCATTTTAATTTGGGTATGTCATTTTAGGCATTTTTGCTACAAAATGGGGGTGGAGTGCAAGAGGTCTGGGTTTTGATTAAATGCCTGAAATAAGGTCTTCGGTTAACACTAGTTAAAGAGACTTCCGCGTTTTGTTCTACCACATAAAATATGTCAGTAAATACCCTACTGTGAATTTTGAAGCTTTTATGTGTCTTGAAAAAGGCAGTTGCTAACAAGTGGCTAAATGAGACTACAGAACGTCATCACGCTGAACATGACTTTACAGCCCTGTTGTAGTAGCGATGTTAGTCATGCGACTGTGGTGTCATTCATTTATAGCCTAATGTAACTTCTGGCGGTTGCATTTACGCTTCAGAGTCATGAAAGTGGTGTTCATGATTATCTTGCTGAACAAAATGTGTACTTCAAACATTTGTTTGCCACAGAGCTTATTTTTGGCAGTATGCCAAAATCCAGTAGGAATTATAGCTGCTGCGCAGCGATGGGTTGGGTCCGGCCATTTTTAGGCAATTCTGAGCAACAAGCAGAAGAATTGGAAGACATTTAGGAATTTAGCAACACAATCTGCCTTTTGCATCAGCTGAGGCTTGAACTCACAACCTCTGAAACTAAGGATCAATTTCTATCTCACTGAGCTAATTAGTCAGTGACAATTCTTGTGTAGCTTCACAAATTGACTAAGCCAGACGTGCATGTTTAGCAGCCGTCCATACATGGAAAGGCAGATTTGAAACCACTGTAAAAAATTCATTTATTAAGACAAAAATCTGAAAATACACATATTGCATCTAGACAGCATGGATATGTTGGTAATTTGTTTGTAACAATGATTGATTTGCTCCATAAGTGAGAAACTGATGTTTAAAAGTGCCATTTTTACATTGACTCCAATTGTTCGCATGAGAGGAAATTCAAAATGCTGTCAAAAATTCAGTTTTTGAGATAAAATTCTGAAATTTGCAACACATCATCTACCATGACTCTAGAATTTTGTCATTTTTTTCATGAACATTGAAGATTTATTTAGCAAGAATTTGCATGTATATGTTTACAGTACCGTTTACAGTCAAACATTTTGATGCACTGTAGGCTCAATTTTTGATAAATCAAAAATCTGAGAAACATAGTTTTTGTAGGACAGTCTGAAGATGCTCTGTAGCAAGTTTGGTGTCAATTGAGCAAAAATTGTGGGAGGAGATAGGTTTAATAAGTTTTACAGTTTTTGAGTGATGAACTTCATAATTTTTAATAGGTTTAAAATTACAAAAGTTTCTTCAGTATTGGGGCTACAGTTTGATGAAAGTTGTGAAGTTGTAGCACGTATGGTTGATTTGTTATGAATTTTCAAAGTTTTGAAATTTAGACGCTTGCTGTAGCGCCACCATCAGGACTATTGGCTTGAGTTTACAGCTAAGGATATCTGGCATGAGACTGGACCTTTCTGCAAAGTTTGGTGAGTTTTCACGCATACATTTCTGAGCACGTCCCTTTTTGTAGGGATATTTGCATCTAGGATAGCGCAATGACAATCCCACAAATAGTAGTGCTTTACCTTGGTAATTATCGGTATGTCTACTCTCTTTTCAAATAACACTTGAGTGTAGTATGTACGTATGGCTCAACATAATAAAAGGCTCAATCCTTTTGTTATGCATCGGAGCCAGTGTAAGTCCCACTCACTTTTTTAGGTCTAATAATATTGGACCCACTCACTTTTATCATCATTTTCTGCACCCCTCAGTTTAAGTTTTATGTACTGAAGACCCTCTAACCGACGTAATCTTACTCATGTTGGTGATTTCGGGAATGATGATTTCAGCACTTTCCCCGTGCTGTCCCCTTGAGAAAAAAAAAACAACAAAAAAAACCTCTACGCTGTGTAAGCCACGTGACTCCGTCTCCTCCATCTAGTCAACATTCACTCAAAGTGAGACTGACGCTGCCTACATGGAGGAGTCAAGCACAAACACCGAGCCAACAAATCAACTCGAGCAGCTTGTACTCAAACACAGGGTTTTCACTGCCAATCTAAGACAAAGGTGGGCCGCCTGGGTGATTTTGGCCGCTGCCTTGGTTTAAAGCGTTTGTGTGTGCATGGGGGGGCGTCCAGATGTAGCGTCTTTTGCGCGCACAAACCCATTAAGCCTGATTTATGGTCCTGCGTTAAATCAACGAGGTACCTACGTCGTTGCCGTGACACCGTCGTGAACCCTTCGAATTTCTCCGTCACTCCATTTCGTCATGGTGCAATTCACCGCCAGAGCGGTAGGGGGCTGCGTTCCTTTCCTGAATGGTTATCGTCATCTCTAGTTGATTCTTTGTTAAGCTTCCAGCTTTTCCGGTCACAGTGAACAATGGCGACCGAGAGAGAGAGAATCTTGCTGGAGTTGGAGTTGTTGGATGTCGAATAAAGTATGTTAATACTGCAACATCTACATCGCAACAGAAGATGTTTAAAGATGGCAGGGATGGTGCAATCTGGAAATACCGAACCGGAAATGCATTGCTACCAAGCAAACCAATCACAACCCTCTTGGTCTGCGCTGGGTCTGCGTCGCCTCGACGTGTAGTTACATTTTTTGGGAGGTGCACGTCAGGCTACACAGGGGGCTACGGCGCGCCTCCTGCGAGTGTTAACGCAGGACAATAAATCAGGCTTTACTGTCAATGTAGACGTGCGTCATACGCGCTCACAACCCAAACCGACACCGTAGCGGCGCGCATTCGGTATTGCGGCGCTTATTTTTTCGTCCGGCGCACAGCTCCACGGACCTGCTTCTCTCTTCTGTGTTGTGTCAGATCCCGGTTCGTCGCCTCCGAGATATTGAATGTGTATTATAGAAGAGAAACACACATTTCAGGACCACTGACCTGTATCATCAGAACAGACATGTTCTATGATTTTCAGCCTCCTTTCATATTTAATAGAAGGGGGACAAACAAAAGGGAGACTGACAGGCGCCCTACAACTAGTGCTTCCACAAAGCAACTGTTGCTGTCACAGGCCTTTACAAATGCCACACAATATGCAAAGGATCAAGAATAATAGTCGGGCATATTTAAAGATTTTTTTTTAAATAATAAAATAATCATTCATTAATTGTAATCGAGGTAAAAGCTTCAATTAATTGTGATATTGAGTTTAAGTAATGACGAATGAATGAGAAGAGCACGCATGGTCAAGACAAAATGATAGAATTGAACATTTAAACTACCTTTTATAAGATAATGAATAGAAAAAGTAATTTCACCAACTGTACTCGTAACATGCTGAAGTTATAAAATATAACCTTTCTTTAAAGAGTCTTAAAACAACTCAGCTAATGTTTGTTTGTTTTTTTGAGTTTTGTGCTTACATTATCCCAAACGGTTTCAATAATGTTCAAACCCAGAGAAATTTGTCATTTTAATCAAGTACAAGCTCCATGTCATTTGGTAGCTGTCACATGTCAGTGGCGTCATATCAAGGGCATAAATATAGACAATGCAGACAGTGCTGATGCACTGTGGCCCACAGCATGGGGGGGCCAATATTGTGTTGGGTGGAGAGCTTGCCCTCTTGCAAGAGATTCAAATTGCCACCTCAGAAATACAGCAGAACTTATGTTAAGTAGCTATGTATGTATTATTGAAAAGGCAAAACCCCATCTTCATTTTGTGTGTGTGTGTGTGTGTGTGTGTGTGTGTGTGTGTGTGTGTGTGTGTGTGTGCGCGTGCGTATAGTCAGTAGCAATCAATACAAAATTATAAGCTCATATGAAATAAACTATAAAAACAATTAAATTAAATTAATATTTCTTTGATGTTTTTGTCATATGCATCTGAAGTTATCAAAGAAACAACCTGAGCAAATGTTAGCGGCAGGTCAGCTCCAGCTCCTGCTGTGCAGAATGGTGTTGGAGAAACACTGATTTTTGTCATGAAACTGCTTTATTCAGTGTCTTTACTGGTTTGAATTACCTAGTCTGTTTGTTTTGGAGCAGAAGAGACCCCTACGCATAATTTGGCTCCTGGTAAAAACCTCCTGAACATCTGTATCTTATATTATTATAGAAAAAACGTTAGCACATATTAGCAGGTGATAGGCTAGCAGCCCATTTGCAACGACTAGAACAGTGTTGGAGAAACACAGATTTTTATCATGAAACTACTTTGTTCAGTGTTTTGTTTTTTTTGTTTTGTTTTTTTGGTTAAGGGAAAGGGTGAGTTTTTAGTGGTTTATTTTAGAAGGGGTAATCATAAATGTCGATGAATTATCTATGAAAGACAGGAACTTTCAGGAAATTCTTCTGAGGAATGTTTTTTATGATTTGTGTCTTTGCATGATTTTAAATTAAATCAAACAAATGAAACTGTTCACAACAACATTAATACTCCAAGAGGAGAAAAAGCTGCAGGTCATGATGTTGTTCTTGAAGGTCTTTCCAAGGTCTAGAAGTTCTGCCTCGCCTTGAAGCTCTATAGTTAGCATTGGTCAGGCTCTGATGTGTGTCTTTGTCTATTTCTGTGCAGATCCCAGTGGCTCCCCGGAGTGTGACCAGTGCCTTCCCCGGTACAGCGGCCCATACTGTGACAAGTGTAGTGCCGGCTTCTACAAAGCATCTGGGTTTTGTGTTCCATGTGACTGCAGTGGGAATGCAGACCCTCAGGACCCTGCCCAGCTCTGTCACCCCGACACTGGCCACTGTCTCCGCTGCATCAACAACACCACCGGGCCCCAGTGCCAGCTCTGTGCACCGGGCTTTATAGGGGACGCCCGAGCACATAACTGCACCCGTCCAAGTAAGAGTAAACCATAATATACTGTTTGGTCAGATAAATCAGTTCATTGTGTTCACTTCGATGTTATAGCTTACTATAGCATATGTAATGCATTTATCAATGAAGGGGTTCAATGAAAGGTTTTATCATAAAAAACAAAAAGGCTTTAAAGGCCCTGCACGCTCGTTCAGGTGTGCTTGGTTATTCTGGCTTAGTAGACCTCTGCTCAGGTTCATTCAAGTGTAATTTATCACACCCTAACAGATGGAACAAAGCTGGAGAGCCAAGGGGATGTCAATCAAGCACACCTACACAGTGCTGAGAAAACATATAATCAGCCACAGTAATTCACGTCACCTGTGTAGGTTAAAGAGAAAGTTCAGGTCTTTTGAAGTGGGGTTGTATGAGGTACTTATCCATAGACAGTTTACTACATACAGTAGATGGCAGTTGACACACCTCCAGTTTGAAGAAGCAGGCAGGAGTCTGACATACATGCTAACAATCTACAGCTCTGTAGGGGTCAGCAACAAAACATATTTTAGCTAAAAAATAATTACTATCAGTTTAAGTGTATGCTGTATTTGTAATATTTTCACTGCTTTAGCTTGCTGTCAGACAGCAATTTCCCCACAGGAAATAGAGACCGTTAATATTAATCTCTTCAAAGCCAGACTCCATTCAGAAAAACAGTTATTTAACATCCGTGAACACAGGAGCTTCTGGTCTACCGCTGCTTTGGTCAGTTATTTTGTTTGTGATATTGTGTTTCTTTGGTATCAAAAAGGGTTCATTCGGATTCAGCAAAACCACACAATAACACAAACTAACTAACTAATCAAAGCAGCAGTAGATCAACAGCTCCTGTACTCAGTGAGCTAAAATTACTCTTTTGCTGAATGGAGTCTGGTGGCATTGACAAGAGCATAGATGGGGAACTGAAGCAGTGTACAGCTTCCCCATAGGAACAGGCTGTCTGACAGAAAGGTAAAGGGGTGAAAGTACCCTCAATATAGCATACACTTAAACTGATATTAACATTTCTAGGTGGGACTATTTTAGGTGGCTAAAATATGTTTTAATGCTGACCCCATCCACAGCAGTACATTGCTTAGCTTCTGTGTCGGTACTCCAGCCTGCCACCCCAAACTGGGGGTATATCGAAAGACATACGCTGACTGTGCCTCACATGACTCTACTTTAAAAAATCTGAACTATGCCTTTAACCATGGGTGTACAGGGTCTTTAAAAACTATTCATACCAATTACACATAGCACTTAAGAAATTTGTAGCTATAGGGTCATTTGTACAAAAACGGTAATACATGAAATTTAAGTTGCTATAATTAGAAGATTATGTGCAACTGTAATAAAATTTCTAAATAATATTTTTAGGAACAGGTCTTTTCCCAAATAACATTAATGATGACAACATGTTCTGTAAGTGTGTCAGTGAGCTGAGTGAATGGATCAGGCTAAAGAAAATGGACTGCAGCCATTATTTATGGTAATTCATTATTGCCCTTGTGTCTTTTCTGCTTGGAAAGATATATTAAGTTTTGACTCATGGAAAGTCTATGACCATGTCCTAAATCATCCTCTGTTTACTCTATAGAGCATAATATCCGCTGTTCATTTTATTAGAGTGACCGCATTCTGAATGTGAAATTCATACACTACAAAGCACCTTCACAAATTGAAAAAATGGAATAAAAAAAGAAAAATAAAGTAGTGCCCATGGCATGTGCACTACTTTTTTACAGGAATCCCATCAGTGATAAGGCAAAATGACTAAGATTAATAAATGTCTGAAATCTAAATTTACTGCTAACTGTAGTTAACTGAGTGTCTTACAACCCCAATGCCAAAAAAGTTGGGACATTGTGTCAAACTTCAATAAAAACAGAATGTTATGATTTGTAAATTCTTTTTGACCTATATTCAATTGTATACAGTACAAAGACAAGATAAACTTTATTGTTTTTTATAAATATACACTCATTGTGAATTTGATGTCTGCGACACGTTTCAAAAAAGTTGGGACAGGAGCATATTTACACTGTGAGACATCACTTTTTCTTTCAAAAACACTCAGTAAGTGTTTGGGAACTGAGGGCACTAACTGTTGAAGTTTTAAAAATGAAATTCTTTGCCATTCTTGCTTGATGTACGACTTCAGTGTCTTAATAGTCCGGGGTCTCTGTTGTAATATTTTGTACTGCATAATGTTCCACACAAGTTCAATGGGAGACAGGTCTGGACTGCAGGCAGGTCGGTTCAGTACCTGCAGTCTTGACTATGAAGCCAAACTGTTGAAACGTACACAATGTGTCTCATTGTCTTGCTGGAATAAGCAGGGACGTCCCTGAGAAAGATTTCATCTGGATGGCAGCATATGTTGCTCCAAAACCTGTATGCACCTTTCAGCATTCATGGTGCCTTCACAGATGTGAAGTTACCCATGATGCCATGGGCACTAATACACCTCAATACCATCACAGATGCTGGCTTTGAATTTTGAGCTGGTAACAGTCTGAATGGGCCTTTTCCTTTTTAGCCTGAGGGCACAATGTTCATGATGTCCGTGTGAGAGCTCTTTCAGAAAGGTGACTTTTTATCCAGTTTTAAGCCATAATTTACACTACACTTTTAGATCATGATTCTTTTATCTATACATTTTAACGTGGAAGAACTTTTAATTCATCAGATGCCTGCATCTTAAGTAAAATTGGCTAACAGCTGTATGTGGACTGCCTCGACTGTTACTGGCTTGCTAAGTTTGTTTTTAGCCAAACGGCTGGGTTAAAGTCTAGTTCACATTACACGATTTTCACAGCAATTTTGATGTCACAGAGGATCTTGAGAGCCATCTTGGGTCGGAGGTGAGTTGGCAGATAGTCTGCCACGACGAGTCCTCGTGTGAACAAGCCTAAGAGCAAGTCGCCCCCTCGTCTGCGACTGGGACTGGATATCTGGCATGCTAGAAAACTGGAGAAGTCTGACACGACTGACAAAGAGCATCAGCAATTGAGAGGCGGGATACATCTCACATCAGCACACAGGAGGACGAAGAAATGTGAGGAGGACAAGCCGCAGGGTTGCCAGGTCCACTTATTAGCTGTGACTTTGGGTGTGTTTTTTTTGCAAAGTCGCTTACAAACATTGGTGGTTGCGGTTTTTTGGGCTTGTTTCTATAGTGAAGTTGCTTATTTGGGCTTGCGGGGTGAAAATCGTGTAATGTGAACTAGCCTTAAGCTATGAGCACTTTTGTGGACTTTTACGACCTGCATGTGTGATGGCTGAGTGTGGACCTGAGTGTCATTCATGTCAGCTTAAGGCAAGTTCACATTATACGACTGGCCAACCAGTCTTGAGTCAAGGTGGTGGAGTTTTTCAATAATTATCAATCAATCATTTTTCCTGAGCCCATGTAGTAATCCTTTATAAAGTTGTGTTGGTTTTTAATGCAGCGCTGCCTGAGGGGTCAAAGTTCACGGACATTCAGTATTTTTAGCTTTGCCCCTTACATGCAGAGATTTCTCTGGATTCTCTGAATCTTTTGATGATTTCCTGGGGTGTAGAGGGTGAAACCCCATAATTTGTGCTATTGTGCTTTGAAAAATGTTGTTCTTGAACTGTACTGCCCTATTTGCCCACACAAGTGGGCAAATAGGTGAACCATGGGCTGCCCATGCTTGTGAACAACTGAGTTTTTTGTGGATGCCCCTTTCATACCCAATCATGATAATACCACCTTTTAGCAATTAATCTGTTTACCTGGTGGATGTTCCAAACAGATGTCTTTTGAAAACTCCACAAATTTCCCAGTCTTTTGTTGCTCCTGTCATAACTTTTTTTGGAACATGTTGCAGGCATCAAATAAAGAATGAGTGTATATTTACGAAAAATAAAAAAGTTTATCAGTTTGAACATTACATATCTTGTCTTTGTGCTCTAGCCAATTGAATATAGGGCGAAAAGGATTTGCAAATCATTGCAATCAACTTTTTTGGAATCAGGGTTGTATACATGCAGTAGTGAATATGATTTTAGACACAGCTAGTTTGAGGGAGGATCATTATCTCTACACAGCTGTACATCTATGGCAAAACATGCTGAGTGAAAATCAGAACATAAAAGCTTTCAATTGCAAAAAAAAAAGAAAAGAAAAAAGAATGCAGCTGGTTTATCCACTAAGTAGTAATGTATTTTTGCCACAAGGTGTCACTAGTTACTTTGGTCATGCATCAATAACCTGGAGTCTGAATCAGCATTCTGTTACATATTCATCAACTACAGGCCTTTTTTCCATTGGCCTACAAGGATTATGAATTTAAGAAAGCTGTGAAATGACATCCACAATGTTTACTAGTGTTTTCACTGCGGTTTTCTCCTCAGCACCCCAGCTTCTTCCCACACCAGCAGATACAACCACAACAGAAGCTCTCACATTGAGTACATCTTCCCCCTCTACGACCACCACCAGCACCACTCTGACCTCCACCACAGCAAGAGGTGTCCCAGCTTCCGCGTCCAGCAACAACACAAGCACCGCGCTGAGCACTGCAGCCACCACCCAGGCACTGCTAACCAGCCTGAGCAGCCCTACTGACAACACTACGGCAGCCCTGACGGAAGTCTCCTGGACGCAGTTCAACATTATTATCCTGGCTGTCATCATTCTGGTGGTGCTGCTGCTGCTGGGCTTTGTCGGAGGCGTGTACACCTACAGGGAGTACCAGAACCGCAAGCTCAACGCCCCCTTCTGGACCATTGAACTGAAAGAGGACAACATCAGCTTCAGCAGCTACCATGACAGCATCCCCAACGCTGACGTGTCGGGCTTACTGGAGGACGAGGTCAATGAGGTGGCGCCCAACGGCCAGCTGGCTCTCACCACACAGGGCAACTGCTACAAGGCTTAGCACTCCATCCATTCCTAGATTTACAGATGACACAAAGCTGCTGGAAAAGTACCAAATCCAAAGCTCCTTTATGTATGACTGCTTGTTGTTCCCCTGCTGGTCTGTGGCACTTCACACAACACAGTGAGAACAAGCAGATGTGATCAAAGATATGGAAAAGAGACGCAAAGTTTCCACTAGAAACATTTTACCTTTTTGATATGATTTTGTGAGGAATGGGTGATCAGTGAAAAGTGTCCAAAGAACAAAGTGGGGTTGAGGTTTTGATGTGCCTGCAGGGGGCACTGTGGTGCAGAGTAGTGAGGTAATTGGCATGATGTAAGAAAGGTGCAAAACATAAACCTGTTGGCTGAAACACTGATCCTGACACTGGTTAGAGGATTTACGGGAGCCTAGCATTTCAGATATTTTTAAAATGGACTTTTGACTGTTTAAGTTATAATTGGATCACTCGATCAGTGATCTTGAGAAACTGAGACAATGATTGTTATTTAATGAATTTTTATTCAGTTGTTATTTATTGGTTGACGTTTCATTCTTGGGGAAAAATGCTGCACATGTATGATGTGTTTATTCATGGTGTTTTATCTTATGTGCTGTTGAATGGTAATTTGAATTGGCCAATATGTTTTCATGTATAGTTTGTGTGTTTTGGAGAGAATCATAGGGGAAGATGAAGGGTGCTGGCACAAGCATTTTTAATGACCTCATCTTATGTTTATAGCTTCCTGTCTTTTGTTAACGTGTGCCAGCTCACCTGAAGTATCCAAGAGGAGTGTTTCTTTCAAAGAAACTACAGCTACCGTTTATAAACTCTCACCATTTGACACTACTGCAGGGTAGTGACTGTTACTGGGCTTGCATAAACCGCCTACCTACATGCAGTCTAATCTGCTCTTTGCTGCCCCAGCAAAGCTGAACAAAAGCATTTGAAAAAGGTGTCACATTTATGTAGAGGTTGGGCTCCGTGACTCAGTTGATAGGACCATTTAAAACATAAACAGTTTTCTAGTATTGATACTGTTGTTATGGAGTAACACTGTAAATTTTTGTCAGCCTACCGGTTATTTTTATCACCTGTAATCAAGTTGCATCAGCTTAAAGGGATAGTTCAGACTTTTTGAAGTTGGGTTGCATGGGGTACTTTTCCATAGACAGTATATGACAAACAGTAGATGTTAGTCAGCACGTCCTGAATTTGGAGAGGCAGACTGGGGACTGACATGGAAACTAAGCAATGTACTGCTGAGGAGGGGTCAGCAACAAAACATATTTCAGCCACCTAAAAATAGTCCTCCCTAAAAAAATCATTTTCGGTTTAACTGTACGCTATATTGACAGTATTTTCACTGCTATACCTTAATGTCAGATAGTTATTTCCAACTGGAAAATGAAGCCATTATATCGCTCTCTTCAAAGCCAGACTCCATGGAGGAAAACAGTGATTTAACATTGCTGAACACAGGAGCTGCTGCTGATGTTATTGCATGACTTTGGAGTTTAAAAAGGTTAGTTCAGATTCACCAAAGTCACACATTACACAAACTAACTAACCGATTAAAGCAGTGGCAGACCAGCAGCTCCTGTGTTCAGCAAACTAAAGTTACTGTTTTTGTCAGTGGAACTGAAGCTGTTAACTGCTTCCTTGTCAAAACAGGCTTTCAGACTGAAAGGTAAGGTAGTGAAAATACTCTTAATAGCATACACCTAACCTGAAATTAATTTTTCCAGGTGGGACTTTTTTAGATGGCTAAAATACATTTTGTTGCTGACCCCATCCATACATACATTGCTTAGCTTCCCTGTCATGCTCCATTCTGCTTCTCCAAATTGGGGGCGTGCCGACTGACATCTACTGCATGTAACACACTGACTATGGAGAAGTACCCCATAAAACCCCACTTCAAAAAATCCAAACAATCCCTTTAAATGGAGAGATGCTGTAAAATTGATTGACTTCAAAGCATCACACCTGATACTGGACATGTTTTCTGTGTTGTTTAGGCTACCATTGGTTGGGTGCACTTCATTTAACCATGGTGAATGAGTAAAGCTAATTATGGAACTAACTCCTCAGGTACTGGCTCTTTCCCTAATGTGATCACTGTAAATATGATTATTGTACAGATGAATGTGAATAGTAGCACTATTATTGTACAGGTAGAATACTGTGTGTACACTGTCACTCAACAAGCTCCCAATCTTTCACTCTGCAGGGTGTGATGTTGTAGTCAGCCCACAGCTTTTTGTATTTTTATTTTGATTTCTTATTCTCAGTGGACTTTGCCATATGCGCAGCTGCGGGACTAAAATGAACCACCCAAAACAAAGAAGACAATTATGTAAATAATTCTTCAAAATCAGAGCTCAACTCTCAAATAAAAATGGATTTAACTGTTGTCTATGTGTTTCTCACATCCCTTTAATTCAAGTCATTACCACATTTTTAAAGATCCTTTCCACAGATATTTGAAGACATAAAAATACTCTTCATGGGATAATAATGACCGCGATGTGGTTTTTCCACAAAAACTTACATCCTGGTGTTAAACTGATATTTAAAGGTCCAGTGTGTAGGATTTAGAGGGACATATTGGCAGAAATGGAATATAATATAATAACTATTTTTTCTTTAGTTTATATTCATCTGAAAATGCGAATTGTGTTTTCTTTGCCTTAGAATGAGCCATATATATCTACATAGGGTCCTCGTCTAGAGATCGCCATGTTGCACCACCATGTTTCTACAGTAGCCGTGATCGGACAAACTAAACACTGGCTCTAGACAAGGCAAATCATGTTTTTCATTTGCAGCCCCTCTGCAACAAGAGTGTCAGAAAAACATTGATTTTTTTTAATGTGAAATTACTTTATTCAGTGTATTCAATTTCAATTCAATTTTATTTATAAAGCCCAATATCACAAATCACAATTTGCCTCACAGGGCTTTACAGCATACGACATCACTCTGTCCTTAAGACCCTCACAGCGGATAAGGAAAAACTCCCCAAAAAAAAACCCTTTAACGGGGAAAAAAAAACGGTAGAAACCTCAGGAAGAGCAACTGAGGAGGGATCCCTCTTCCAGGACGGACAGACGTGCAATAGATGTCGTACAGAACAGATCAGCATAATAAATTAACAGTAATCCATATGACACAATGAGACAGAGAGAGAGAGAGAGAGAGAGAGAGAGAGAGATGCAGGTAATGACAGTAGCTTACAACAACATTAATGAAAGTAATAATATTATAGTTATAGTTCTGGCTACTGTGGTACAATATGTTGAAAGTATGTATTAATATCAGACAGTATACTTGTGTGACAATAGTCATATGTGTATAATAACAGTAGAAGTATGACTAATGACTAATGATGGCAGCAGCAGCAGGAGGCATCTGGCAGGACCACGGCAGCAGCACAACCACACACGTCACACTGTCCAGGCACCGCTGCGGTATGAGTTATTCTGAGAGACAGTGGAGCACAAAGGCTCCGGAGAAGAAGCCGAGTTAGTGACATCCAGAATGGCCGAGTTAGCAAGATGCAGTAATAGGATGAGAGAGAGAGAGAGAGAGAGAGAGAGGGGGTATTTAGCTTGACAGATTTGTTTCTTCAGCCTCTGGTTAAGATATCAGAGAAAAAAGCTAAGAACACATTAGCAGGTGTTAGGCTAGCAGCCTGATCCACCTAACAGCATCAGAAAAATATGATTTTTTTTTTTTTACCATGACACTGATTTATTCAGTGTTTTTACCAGTTTATATCATTGGGTCTGTTATTTTTTGGAGGAGACGTCTGCGGAAAAAAACCTTCTGAACATCTGGATGAGGAAAAATGTGAGCACACATCAGTAGGTGCTTGTCTCAGACAGGGTGAACTGGAAAGACGCAGATTTATAACATGAAACTGCTTCATTCATTTTTTTTGGGTGTGTTTTTTACTGGTTTAAATCATCTGGTTAGTTTGTTTTGGAGAGAAGGAGACATCTGCATATACAGTAATTTGGCTCCTGGTAAAAACCTGCTGAACAATGAACACTTTTAGCTGGTTGCAATCTGCAATCTTCACTGCTAGATGCGACTAAATCTTACCTGCTGTTGATTTAAAGTGAGTGCAGAGAATCTTTCTCTCTTCAGCAAATGAGTGTGAAAACAGTCTTCTAGTGTCAAAATCTGCACATACATCATTCTGCACGGTGAAGCTCAAACACCCAACTAGTAACGACAAGCAAAATACGCTTTGAGTAAATTCATCATGTATTAATAATTCTGCCTCACCAACACTGGTTCTACAAATTCCTAAGTCCTCATGTTAATACTATTTTATTCTTCAAAACAAGATTTGCATTTACTGCCGCAGGCTGGCCTCGACTATCCTCTCTGCAACAACCTGGCTATGGCCCTGCCCATCTCCCATCCACAGAACAGCTGCAGGGTCTCCATATTATTCTGATGGTATCCCTATTTTTCCTCAGCCCACTGCAGTCTGTTTTATCCACTGACTGAAGCCTGCCTATCTCTTAACACACAAACACACACACTTCCTGTTGCTGTTGTTACTATGTCACTATTAAAATGCTGACAGGATGGATCTTGTACTGATTTCTTAAAAATAGTATAGCATTTTCTGTTTCTAAAGCGGTCTGAATTATTTGGCCACTTACGTAACTACTGCTAAATGAATACTTGCTTATTTTACAGTTTTTTGGGGACTTGCTAAGATGTCATGTGAGAATGGTGGGTGTTACAGAGGTGGACGCTTTTCTCTAGGCAAACGGATTATACAGAAATGAGAATGCTTTCATACACTTCATTTAAAATAGATTAAACAAATTATCAATCCTAACTCTAAGGTTAGTTTGATTGAAGGAAAGTGTGAGTACTGTAGCCAGGGGAGCCTCTGACTTTTTCAGGAATTAAGACGATGCTATTTAAAAGAAAACCTGGACCCTATTTTCCTATGCTTGTCAGTGACTAATAGACATTTTTTAATTTGGTCATGTAGAGAGAGACCACTGAAACAAAACAGGCTGCAATGTAATCTCTGTGGGCAATTGTGCTGATTTACATCCAATAAAGTGCTTGCTTTTGCCTCTGACAGGTTCAGATTGTTATTATATTAAGTGTCTAACAACATTATAAAAAAAAGACCCTACAGAGAAATTAAATGTATTTCTTCAACTTTCGCTAGTCTGTTTGTTATGGTGACCAAGGCTCACTCAAGGAGAAGTCTTGTTCTGAAATCTTGTGAGAGGTGGCTTGACATCTCTGGGCTCATTTGTGAGAGCCCGAGAGAGGAGTGCCGGGAAAAGTTTGTTGTGTTGGAGTACAGAAAGCATAACTGTGTTATCTAAAAGATTTTCAATGTCATGGCTGAACATTTAGCTGATTTCGAGAACGTGGAAAAGAGATTTTAGAACGAGACTTCCTTGAGCGAGACATGGTAACACATTAACAAACAGACCGGATCAGTGAAAGGTAAAAAAAATTGACGGTACACAATTGCCCCTAGGGATTACACTGCAGCCTGTTTTACCACTGTGTCTGCAATGCTCTCTCTCAATACTGCACCAATTTCTAAAACTGCTGGCTCCATCAGTCACTAAGACACAAAAGTATGGAAAAATAGGGCTCAGTGTTCAAAAATACTTAAGTTTTCCTTTAATGTCCAGTCAAGTTCTATTAGACTTATAATTAGTATAAAGTTGCATAATGTTCTTCAGAAATATCAGTTATTTTTATTTTCATGTAAAAATGTTGCATCAGTGCTTTTATTATGCTGACTAGATCATATGGCTATGATTGTGGTTTGATGACATTATAGTTAAACTGACAGTATTTTTTAATTTTAATTTGTTTCACCTTCAGAGGAATGCAACGTTTTCACTATGACAGGTATGAAGTTGGCTAAAGTGCTGTCTTGACAGTCGTCATGAATGAGAAGTAAATCAGCAGGCAGGGGCAGATTACCTCAAGGAGGCCGATTTTATATTCATTTACAAAGACAAACCAGTGCCACTGGTATTGGCGGAGAGTGATTATCTTGTCGTTCGTGTCGGCTCTTTCTCCTCGTCACGGCACATATTAAAAGCTCAGTCGGTACTGATGGGGTTGCCTCTTACAGTAAGGGGTAAGAATGTGAGGGATAGCTGTAGAAAGTCATGTCGTGATATGGGACTACAAAACTTCCCCCATTAAGTCCTTTGTTGGTTTTGGTTGTGCACTTGTCATTAGAGGCAAACTAATCGAACCCGTGGGATCGGGGGTATGCAAGCTATTATTCACAATATAATGGATGTCCCATGAGAGGAGGCTGCGGAAAACTCACTTCAGAAAGAGGAAGTTCGTGTCTGACTCCTGACACTAAGTGAAACTCGGGTAGCCTAAATCGAGACTCCTTAACATTGCAGTGGTTTTCAACGTGGGCGACACCGCGCTGATAAATGGAGATGTAGGATGGGAGCCGGCGGCTGATCCGTGAATAGCCTAAACCAGCTGCATGGAGGAAGAGGGCTGCTGCTACTGCGGAGGGGAGGCAGGACTACACCGGCCAAAAGCTTTTCAATTTCTCCGCCAGACAGAGACACGACCACGGCGAACGGCTCAGTTTTTCGTCGTGGCGCTCCTTCTACTGATTTCTGTGGCTCTGGCTATGCTGATAGTGATCACGGTGGTGCTCGGAGGGCGAGATCATCAGTCACCGGACAGCCAGGTAACCTTTACATAGCTCACCTGTACAGTCCACCAGCTCACATGTGCTGTTGTTGCAAGGGGTTGGCCAAAGCTGTTAACTAGTTTATAAATGGGTAGTTCATTTAAAGGCTAACCAACGTTACGCAAGTGGTCTGTAGTCTGTGAATTTACCGCTGTTGCCTTAAGGCTAACTTTCAATAAAAAAATGTTTCGCAAACATTACATTAGGATATTTTCTTTCTAAATGGGTCAAAGTTTATTTCCTGTTGTAGTGTTTGGTAACGTTGGCTTTAAATTTGATCCAAGTGCTCTAGCAACGAAAGTCCAGAGAAGTAAACCGTAGCCTAGTTTATAGGAGCACCTTAACTCAAACGTCATAAAATGCAGCTATAACAAGAATTAGACGAACTTACTCTGGTGTCAATGTTACTTTGCAGGCAACATGCGTCAGTGTTTTTACATCAACTTCTACTCACAAAAACTTCTGTTTGGTCCTTTACAAAAATGTAGACTAGGGTTAATTCAGGGTGAGTGGGACATCAGGTTGGGTGGGACAGTATAAGTAAATTGGCTGTATTTTCTCCCCTGGTCATTGAAAATAAAAACTTTTTTCTGCTGAGCCTTGCTGTGAAACCACATTATCAGAGTTGCTTACACTCATTGGTGTGATGTCACATGTGGGGGCGGGGCCAACATCAATCAGGAAGTTGACCCTGCATAACCCAAGGTGAGGAAAATGATTTTGATTGTTATGATCATAAGGTTATAAAAAATATTTTAGCCAGGATATTGCAGAAATATTTGCTGGAAACATGAATTTGATGCACTTCTACAATAAAATCAGAAAAAAAAGAATGTTACGATTATGTTTATATTTATGGAATTGGGTTATTTTTATGTCTTGGGTGGGTGGGACAGTATAAGTAAATTGGCTGTATTTTCTCCCCTGGTCATTGAAAATAAAAACTTTTTTCTGNTAATGAATAAAAATGATCAATCCTGCCATAGGGAATCATTATATATGTTCCAGATTAATAGTTCCTAACCTTCTTGTGTGTGCAGACCCAAAATCTACCACACAATTGTTGATGGAGCACCTCAATTTTACTGCTAGCCAAACTACCTAGCTAACAAAACAGCTAGCATAAACAGCAAGTGTACCCAGCCTACTAGGGATGCATGATAACAGATTATTTCCCAGGATCTAATTTGCAGATTGTCCCCAACTCTTTAAGCCTATTGTTGATGATAGGATATATAGAGGAACACACACTTACGGGCGCACGCACACACACACACACACACACACACACACACACACACAATGAAATTTTGACCTGAATTCTGATAAATGTATCCATGAATTTTTGTTTGTAGGCATGTTCAATAAAGGTAGTCTCGCCACCAGACAATCAGAGATCTCCGCCTTCTGATAGTCTGGGGACACTCCTTTCTAAAGTGTGATCAACACACTGGCGAAAATGGCCGGCAACAAAGCAACACCTCTTGCATTTTTTTTAAAAGGACACAACCTCCCGGAAATGTGTGCTCCCCCTTTTCTCGTCGGCAAGGAAACAAACACACAGAGAGCTTGAAAATGGATGCAGAGAGATTTAACTCAATTTTATCAAACTTGTGCTCAGTCCACAAGATTGTGGAAATGAAGGACTTACAGCGACTTGAGCCATTTTGTGCTGCTACACGTGTTTCTAGTCGGACTATGTTTACGAGCACAAGAGTTCAGCGAGCCACCGAAGGACCGCCCTGCGGATTTACTATTGGTTCTGCAACATAGGGAGTTTTTTTTAAACTCTGAAATTGTATCCGCCCATCTAAACACAAAATCAGGGAGAAAGTCATCAGTCTTTAGTTAAGCAAAGCGTCTAAAGACTGACTTGTGAGTCTACATTAAAGGTAGCAGGCTAAATCAGTGATCTGATGTGTTGTCCTACTCACCCAAATTTCACACACAAAAACGATTTTTAGTCAGTTCACAAAAAAGGGTATGCCATGCATCCATGGAATATAATCAGATCTTCTTTCCTCCTCAGATGGATAGGAAACATCTTCAGCATTACAGAAATGTATCATATGTAGGGTTATTTTTTGAAATCCATAGCCAGAAATCTCACACAATGCAGAAAACCGAAAACTGCCCTACTCACCCTGAACTCACCCTACTTATTTAAAATTAACTATGAATTGGCAGTAGGCCTACGCTACAAAGAATGCTTCATTGATTTATATGGCCACAACAGACTGACAGTTGGAATAGCTAAAAAAGATTTTATAAACATACACACACATATATATATATATATATATATATATACAGTTAGGTCCATAATTATTTGGACAATGATACAGTTGTCATCATTTTGGCTCAGTACACCACCACAATGGGTTTTAAATGAAACAATGAATACCTGCTTAAAGTGCAGACTCTCAGCTTTCATTTAAGGCTTTTTTCAAAAATGTAGTATGAACCGTGTAGGAATTACAACCATTTCTTCACACAGTCCCCCGACTTTAAGGGCTCATAAGTATTTGGACAAACTAACATAATCATCAATTAAACAGTCAGTTTTAATACTTGGTTGCAAATCCTTTACAGTCAATGACTGCCTGAAGTGTTGGACACATAGGCATCATCAGATGCTGGGTTTCTTCCCTGGTGATGCTCTGCCAGCCCTTTACTGCAGCCGTCTGCACTTCCTGCTTGTGTTTTGGGTGTTTTGCCCTCAGTTTTGGCTTCAGCAAGAAAAACGCATGCTCAATTGGATTCAGGTCAGATGATATGACTTGGCCATTGTGCACCATCTGCACTAGTCTAGATTAGTTTGAGGGTGTAGAGATCAGCATAATAATTGGGTGGACCCTGTTTGTTTCAATTTCAATTTCAATTTTATTTATAAAGCCCAATATCACAAATCACAATTTGCCTCAGAGGGCTTTACAGCATACGACATCCCTCTGTCCTTTGGACCCTCACGCAGATAAGGAAAAACTTCCCCCAAAAAACCCTTTCACGGGAAAAAATGGTAGAAGTAGTGGAGTTATAGATCTATTACAATATTTAGATATGAAAAATACTGAATTACTAGTCCATACCCATTGAGTACAGCATACCATACCATGACTTAGTCATACCAAAAATTAGAAGAAAACCCACAACATTCAGCCACAGGGGGAGCCACAGCGATCTGTCGCATTTTAGCCATTTTTAAGCATTTTTCTGTTGTTATAGCGCCACCCAGTTGCCAATTAGAGTTAAATTTCTCCAGTCACCTTGAGGTGTCCTGTGTGGTCATATGCCTACAAAGCTGTGTGGTGATCGGTGAAACCCTTGAGATGTTATACACCTTTATGTGATGAGCCACGCCCTCCGCAATATTCATTGCCTTATAGAAGCTCAGTTTTAGTAAGTTTTCCAACTTTTTCCAAGAGGGAACTTTAGATATTGGTCCCTAGATTATGTTCACCCAGTTTCATGCAGATCAGTCAAACTTCCTAGGAAGAGATCCATTTGAAGTGTTTTTTAAAAAATTCAAAATGGCAGAAAATCTATATAACCAGAAGTTATGGGTTCTTGGGGCAAATTTGTTCCTCATGGGGAGAGGTATCTCTGTGCAAAGTTTCATGTCTCTACGACATACGGGGCATGAGATATGCCCATTCAAAGTTTGCAATCCTGATCATACTGAAAGCACAGCGCAGAGCGGCTGGATGGGACCGACAGAGAGTAATGCATCCTGGTTTTTATAAAGAATCTCATCCAAAGTCTGACAAAAAGTGATACTTATACTAAATAAAAGGACAGAGGGATGTTGTATGCTGTAAAGCCCCATGAGGCAAATTGTGATTTGTGATATTGGGCTTTATAAATAAAATTGATTGATTGATTGATAAATAAGTCACTTTCCACTGGTGAACATTTGACTGTTAATTGAGGCAATTTCATGTTGTGAGGAGGAGCTCTGCAGTTTGTCTGCCTCTCTCACTGCACTGAGAGAGGCAGCATACAGCATCCCTCTGTCCTTTGGACCCTCACACAGATAAGGAAAACCTTATGTGTCCCATTTTACCTGATGTCTCACCGTCCCTGACTTCACTGTGGCCTGTATGACCACTTCATGTCTACAAAGCTTGTGTTTACTGGAGCAGTATCAGTCATGTATGTGATATTGGTCCATTTACTGTAGCCTATATTTAAATCAGTTTGTTTGTTTTCATATATATTGTTATATAATAATATGATTATGTAAATACAGCTCTTTAAAAGATAATGAAAACATGTTCACGGATTCTGATACAGATATTATTGTGAATCCATAATATAGTTACAATTGTGTCATTATAATGCACACTTGCGACTGCATTTACAGTACTGTAGTATTCTTCTTGACTGCACTATTTTAATTTCTTCTATCATTGCTGTTAATTACAAAAAAGTTGCTAAGACTGTGTTTGTTTCCTTCCAGCTGTTGACGCAATCTGAGAGGCTTTCATCAGGTAAATATTTTGTTCAGCATTCCAGTTAGATAAAATGCATAGTTGATTTCTGGCCAGAAAAGATCAAATGGGCTTGGAAAAACAATCATCCATCAATGTGTGTTAAACAATACTTTAAATCTCTCTTGTAGGTGACAGACAGCAGCAACCCAAAGACTTCAAGAATCCAAGTGCAATGCTAACAGGTACAACAGTGCAGTAGTGTAAGGCTGCCATGATGAGGGGTGTACTGAACACCTGTTTTCCTAGAAAAGCACTAATGTTTGTTACCCCACTGGGGTTGCACTGGCTAAAAATGCTGTGGATTGACCAGTTTGACCAGTTAATTATGTTGTTGGTTAAAACAAACACACGGAGTGCACTGTCTCTCTCTCTCTCTCTCTCTCTCTCTCTCAATTCAATTCAATTCATTTCAAATGGCTTTATCTCTCTCTCTCACCCTCTTTACTATACATCCAACATGCAGCTGCTGGTTAAAGAGTTTATACTGAAAATGCACAGAAATACTAATTGTTGTGCTTTTAAGAAACAAGCCTGATAGATTAATTTTGCTTTTGTTAAACACCTGACAAAAACAAGTAGGCATAATAAAATTATAACACATTTTCTCTCACACTGCAGTGCAGTGAGAGAGGCAGACAAACTGCAGAGCTTCTCCTCACAACATGAAATTGCCTCAATTAACAGTCAAATGTTCAGCAGTGGAAAGTGACTTATTTAGTTTAAGTATCACTTTTAGTCAGACTTTGGATGGAATTCTTTATAAAAACCAGGATGCATTACTTTCTGTCGGTCCCATCCAGCCGCTCTGCGCTGTGCTTTCAGTATGATCAGGATTGCAAACTTTGAATGGGCATATCTCATGCCTTGTATGTCGTAGAGACATGAAACTTTGCACAGAGATGCCTCTCCTCATGAGGAACAAATTTGCCTCAAGAACCCATAACTTCAGGTTATATAGATTTTCTGCCATTTTGAATTTTTTGAAAAACACTTCAAATCGATCTCTTCCTAGGAAGTTTGACCGATCTGCATGAAACTCGCTGAACATAATCTAATATCCAATATCTAAAGTGGCAAAAGTTGGAAAACTTACTAAAACTGAGCTTCTATAAGGCAATGAATATTGCAGAGGTCGTGGCTCATCACATAAAGGTGTATAACATCTCAAGGGTTTCACCGATCACCACGCAACTTTGTAGGCATATGACCACACATAATCTGAGGGGACCCCTCCATTATTGACCCAATCTAACAAAATGGGGGCGCTACAGAGCTAATTTCTTATCTAGGCCTAACCACCATATCAGTTTTTACTAAACTTGGTAGATATGTAGAACAGGACGCCTCAAGGTGACTGGAGAAATTTGACTATAATTGGCAACTGGGTAGTGCTTTAACAACAGAAAAATGCTTAAAAATGGCTAAAATGCGACAGATCGCTGTGGCTCCCCCTGTGGCCCAATGTTGTGTTTTTTTTCTAATTTTTGGTATGACTAAGTCATGGTATAGTATGCTGTACTCAATGGGTATGGACAAGTAATTCAGTATTTTTCATATCTAAACATTGTAATAGATCTATAACTCCACTACTTCTACCATTTTTTTCCCTATGAAAGGGTTTTTTGGGGGAAGTTTTTCCTTATCTGCGTGAGGGTCCAAAGGACAGAGGGATGTCGTATGCTGTAAAGCCCTCTGAGGCAAACTGTGATTTGTGATATTGCGCTTTATAAATAAAATTGAAATAGAACAGTTTGGGCCCTGCTTATTATGGTTAATTTTTCATACAGGGTCCACCCAATTATCATGCTGATCTCTACACCCTCAAACTAATCTAGACTAGTGCAGGTGGTGCAGAAATATTGCAACCCCAACCCCCCTGCCAATTATGTGTCTTTCCATGTTTGCTCACCCATTTTAAAACATAATCTGGCACCCATATCTATATCTATATCGTTGTTGTTGTTGTTGTTGTTTTCTTTACTAGTTTACTGTCTTCCTTTTAAAGGTCCAGCATGTAGGATTTAGGTGAATTTATGTTATCTAGTAGAGAGGGTTGCAGATTGCAACCAGCTGAAACTTCTCCTTGTTAGAATTTCTTCAGCGTTCATTGTTCAGGAGGTTTTTACTGGGAACTGAATTATCCGCAGAAGTCTCTTCCTCTCCAAAGCAAACAGACCAGGTGATTAAAATCAGTTAAAACACTGAATAAAGCTGTTTCATGTTACAAATCAGTGTTTCTCCTATGCTGTTTGGCACTTAGGAGACAGGACACTAGCCTAGCACCTGCTAATATTTGTTCACCTTTTTTCTGCAATGACTTACAATCCAGATGTTTAGGAGGTTTTTACCGGGAGCTGAATTATCTGCAGAGGTCTCCTTTCTGTCCAAAACAAACAGACCCGATGATTTAAACCTGTAAAAAAGCTGAATAAAACAGTATAACTCCAAAAGAAATCACTGTTTTCTGACACTGCTCGTCACAGAGGGGCTTTTAACTACAGTCACCAACGTGAAAACATGAATGGCCCTATCTACAGCCAGTGTTTGGTCTACTGTGGAAAAATGGTGGTGCAACACACTGATCTCCGTAGACGAGGGCCCACTCTGTGTGTAGACATAAACAGCTCATTCTGAAGTAATAGAAACACAACACTTCTTATTTTCAGGTGACTATACACTAAAGAAAACAAACTTCTTATAAGCTGTACAGAAATGTAACGAATTGAAGAATAACAACAAAAAGTGTCTTAGTAAGATGTTCCACTATTGTTCTCCAGAGCAGCTTCAGTGCTCCTCCGCATAGATCCTAAGTCTCTGGAGCACCACTGAAGGGATGATCACCATTCTTCCCAAAGACATTCCCTCATTTGGTGCTTTGTAAATGGTGGTGAAAAACTCTGTATAATCTTTAATAGGTGTTCAGCTGATTTGAGATCTGGTGACTGCAAAGGCCATAGGATGTCATCCACATGATTATGCTAGGGGAGGGAAGGTGGAAGCACAGGGCTGTGACATATTTCATGTTATAAAGAAATGATACAGGTGCAGAAACATTCATAACCTTATTTTTGCCTTTCTGCTCTCATCCTCAGCTCCTAAAGGCAACAACACTGTTGGGGAATATCTTGCATGGGAGAGTGACGAAGGGAATGCCTTCTGTCATGGAGGGTTCAGCTACTCCAGCGGGAACCTCGTTGTGCCCAGGAAGGGCATCTACAGAGTCTTCTTGCAGATCACCTATGAGGGCGCGGGTTTGAGTGATGAGCTGAGACTCAGCAACACAGTGTTTGTTATCGGGGATAATTACAAAAACAATGTGCAACTCCTGTCATCAGTCGAGACAGTGAGTTGCAGCATGAAGCAGTGGAGGAAATCCCTCTATACAGCCGGCTTGTTCTCCCTGGAGGCTAACAGCAGACTACGCGTGACATCATTGTACCCTGAACTTATTGTTCTTGAGAAAGAATCCCAGGTGTTTTTCGGTGCCGACCTTGTGTCTTAGTAATCCGGTCAGAATTACCTCAGTCTGATCTTGAAGTTGTTTGCACCTTCAACTCCTTAGGAACATAAGGGAAAATACCAGTGTAGCTTTATGATTTCTTTTACTATTACTGTTCATGAGAACCCACTGATGACTCTGCAGCAGCAAGAAGCTACCAGTATCTGCTTCGCTGTAGGTTGTTTGCTTTACCTTATTGAAGCTAACCCTGCCTTATTTTTAACTCATTAATATCATCTTACAGAGACTTACAGTAACGATGGCTTAACGATGCCTCAACACTGTTCTATAGAGCAGATACATTTTCTGAACAGCATCCTTAATATTTGTAACTGCACATGCTTCTGGCAAAATAGGCACTGTCAGCTGTATTGAATATATCCTATCCACTTAAGCCAATGTTGGGGGTCGCGGGGGGGCTGGAGCCTATCCCAGTTGAAATTGGGCAAGAGGGGGGGTACGCCCTGGACAGGTCACCAGACTATCATAGGGCTGACACATAGAGACAGACAACTATTCAAGCTTACATTTACACCTAGAGGCAATTTAGAGCCACCAATTAATCTGCATGTCTTTGGACTGTGGGAGAAAGCCAGAGAACCTGGAGAAAACCCACGGGGAGAACATGCAAAGTCCACACAGAAGGGCTCCCCCAGCTCAGGATTCAAACCCCCCACCCTGGGTCCTAACTGTACCACCATGCCGCCACTACTACCAACCAGACTGAGCTAAATGTGAGGCTTCAACAATAGTGTTGAACAAAAAGGGACTGTTCATGTAAACGGTAGTTTTCATCGTCTACCTACAAAGAGGAATAGATTGCCACCCTTACTGTACAACGTTAATACTGTAGTGTCAGGTTTTAAAAAATATAATACACTGTTTCGTATTTTTGCACACACCCTACTTTAATGCATACACTACATTTTCACATGCTTGGAATGACATAAAAATGATAAGAGATATATAATCAGAATGTGCCTAAGAGAATGATGGCTACAATGACAGGTCTGTCATCAAACTTCAGGGCAATATCCCTATCTGACATTACTCTCAATCTTCATTAGTAAATTACCTGTCATTAAAAACAAACTTAGCAACATATCTTCAATTATGTGTTTAGTCATGTAGGCTGAGAATGTTTTACTGATTTTACTGTTAACCTTCTTTCATATCATATACAATGAATGCCTGAAGTTATTTATTTTACTACTACTTTATATAACTAATATTAGTGAAGTCTGCTGCTGAATTTGGGGTCATGTTTCAGTCAGTAGAACTCTGATTTAATAAGTCAGCAGGTATAAAAAGGTGTAGACTGTGTTGTTAAGGCAGACGAGCTGAGCAATAGCTGGGACACATCAGGTTTATTCATTTCACTGTTGAATGTTCGCAGAATGTGTTGGTGTCTGTTTATGAGTCTTAAGAAATCATAAATAATCTTTTAGTAGTAGTTGTTCTTCATCAATAAAAAAATTCCAGCTTCTCATAGTTCACTGTCAGCTAAATATCTGAATATCTGTGATTTCAACTGTTGGTCGGACAAAGCAAGCACTTTGAAGACACCACCCTGCATTATGAAAATACTAATCAGTCTTTTAAAAGTATTTTTCTGACATTTTACAGACTAAAAAAATCCATTAACCAAAAAATAACAAACAGGCTGATCTGGTGTCCTGACATAGAAGAATTTGATTTTTTCACATGGAATAAGTAAGGGCCCAGAGATGTCATGACAATTTGCTTATTAGATGACAGTATTTCTTGATTGCAAGTGCACATTGGTATTTCTGTAGATTAAAGGTCAGGGTATCATTGAAAGCATTAGGACTCAAATTTTGGGGAACATAAATTTCCACAAAAAATTCTGCAGAATTTTGAATGTTAGTTTTCAAGATGAGCAAAGCATTGAACAAGGGGATATGTGGTTTTCAGAAACCCACAATGCCAACATATTTTCTGGCAACTGGGTTGGCAAGAAATATTGACCCCTGTCCCTAATATTGACTGTGTAAATAAGCTACTGTGACATCAATCATGAGTTTGTCTGGTTCATAGTAGGCTGTAAAGATGTTTATGTCTGCTGTAAAGTTAGGCATTTTAATATGGGGGTCTATGGAGATTTACACTGTTTTTGGCACTTCCTTACTGGCTTGATTTTTCAGCCTCAGAGGTTGCAGCTTGGTCCTGATTCAGCCAACCCCCAATCTTTTTTTTAAGCTAGAGGACATTTTTTGAAAGGTGTCACTGAAAATGGTAAACAGTTGGTCAGTCTCTCTTTTTCACCAAGATTAAAAATGAGTCAATAACTGTCATTTCAATAAGGAGATATCAATTGGAAATATGTAAAAAGTCAGCAGTGGTCAAAAACTTTGGCAATTAGACTCTACTTGTGTGAAGCATCTTCCTTAAACCTGAAGATAAGATTGGCTTGAGGCACACAAGCAGAGGCTCGAGGAACACAGATATGGTGAGGTAGGGTTTTATGAATGAAAGGAATTTTGACAGCACTTTGTAACACAAGAGTCAATAGTATTCCGAGAAGTCAAGTTGTTAGTCATTTTCACCATGTAGATTTTATTTGAACAACTGAATGTGATTAGTGCTGCAGGACATTAGTCACTTACAGCATTAAAGTCATTTGAATAAACACTCCAGATGAAATGAAATACCATACAGGGCTGAATTAGTCTGTTTTGCAATAGCTAACTCAGCAGGTTTGATAAGGGAGGTTTGAAGAGTAGTAAACAGTGCAGAGTTACTGGCAGCCCACGCCCACACAGTCCAGCTGCCATGATCACTTTTTTAGCTAAATGTGTTTATGGTTTATTATGTAATAAAGATGAAAAAAATGCAAAACCACTTTCACCACCGCCAAGGACAAACAAATTATTCTTATATATAGTCTGGTTCTGCCTTTCCAGTGTCAACATATATATGTTTTGAAGTAATGTTGAAAAAAATGTTGCAACTCATGTCTTTTTCAAAATGAAGAATAATCATCTAGTTTATAACTGCAGGGTGTCTGTGTGAGCAGCATGCAGTTGGCCCACACATGGTGACAGAATTTTTCCAAGTCAGGAAAGGACAAATTTGTACATTCAATTCAATGATATTTTAAAATTACACCTCTTGTGAAATTGACTTAGGAAATAGAATGTGCTGGAAATGTAAAACACATTTAAGTATATGCAAAGTGTGAAACACCTGAATGACGCTGTCGTCATCTCTGTCTGAAAAGTGATGGCTCAGAATCAGACGCACAACTGGCTGCATGTCTTGACTCAAGATGTTTGAGGAATGTCACAACAGTCTGCTGTTGGGTCATAAAGGATCATTATACACTTGCTGTATTTATGAGTTGATGAATTTGACTTTTCTCTCTGTAAGCTGTATAAAAAAAAAAAACGTGGAAAAAGTTTGCTTTTTGTTAGTTTTAATATGAAAGGTGCTGTTGTTGCTTAGCACTCTGTACTCTGAGTTGGTGCTATGCAAATTAACATTTTCCTACTGAAAGATATATGATTCATGTTTATTTTTATGTGAATAGTTTCTAAAAAAAAAAAAAGAAAGATTAATGAAAAGAAAAATGCTTTGATGACAAAACACAAAGCTATTTCCTTCTGTCTGTGGGGAGTGGAAATGTGGGGATTCATTTTTTGCCTGACTCTTGAGACATTACTTCATATCCCAAATGTTTCTCTCACCAGCACAGCAGCTCAGTTTGGGGATTTTGGCCTCAGGCCCTACAATGAATGAGTTAGGGCATACATCTGTAACTGCTGCAGAGCTGAAGGGAAGAGAAGCATGGCTCAGAGAATAAATGGCTTCATTATTATCATGTTTAAAAATTGTAAAATGTATTCATATGTTATTAAGCTTGTACTATCAGTGGGATGTACCAGATGAGATAGAAATGAACCATGTGCAGTGGCGCCCCCAAAAATTTTTCCGTGGGATGTCTAGATGAGGCCACTGAAAATCTGGAGTGGCACGCCAAAGCCAAAAGTCATAACTGAATTTGAAGAGTTCCTTTTTGCTGTTCAAGTGTATAGGCTAGTTAAATACTGTATCAATATGCAGAGTTAAGGAATCACATACTAATACATTTTGGTTTCTTAGGAGCCGTACATATGCTGCGTCTTTAACCGCCTGGAAAACACGAGGTCAGGCACTGCGTACTACTCTGTCTGTTGTGTGTAGCAGTGTAGTTGGCCTATTGTCCATGAAACAGCTGTAAAGCTCTGGCAGCCCTGCACTAACATGATCAACTTTTTCTCCATATCACAGACTGATATTTTGGATGAAGGGTGTTGGACTATAGTCTCATCCTACTCTCCAATGTGCTATGTGTGAGCTCAGTCCTGCGTGTTCTTTAATGAAGCAATAGGAGAAGATATTCGGTCTCAGTTAATGTAGTTTATTAAGCAGTAAAGGAATAAAATTACAGAGCTCTGGGTCTCAACTTCACGTCCCTGACGAACAACAAAGGTGTGTCAGTTCACGAAGTCTGACCTCCTGTCCTTTCCCTGACCCAGTATATTTGAGCGTAACAGAGTGTCATTGTGCACGCAAGGCGTTGTCCTCTTCTCATTGGCAGTTCCACTTCCTCCTTCACCACACCACACCCCTGCCTCGTGTTAATCTGACTCCTTCCCACTGGCGGTGGGGGCGTGGTTCCTGTTTTGAAAGACAAGAGAACAACACAACTCCCTACACGTGCTGTACCTTACTATCTGTATATCACTTTCTATTCTTTTTACCATATATGAAACTAATTATTTAAGCATTGCAGTATGTGCTCCTCAGACTTCATGTCTCTTCCTCTCCTGTACTTCTCCACTTCTGCAAAGCAAACACATTCAGATCAGCTGAAATCATCTCAGTATTCTCATTGTTCACACATCTAAAACTTATATAGTGAAACACAACTTATAGTAAAACACATAAAATTATTCTATTCCCAACAAGGGGAAGATATCTTTTGGCTGAGATGTGTTGGGTGTCGTCACATGACATCAGTGTGTGCTGCTGCATTCCAAAAGTTGAACTTGGTTTATCTGAGGATGTAGCTGTCGCACCCTGAAAAGTAGGCGCTCGAGAATGCGTGAACGCAGCGACAGCGTCAGTCTGTGTTTGAGCGCGCCTGTCACACGTCTACATTACAAAAACATGAATTTGAGGGCATAAAAAACACAGCATGTGTACATCGCCTTACTTTATAGTTAATGTTACAAATTATTTAATGTGCATAGACTAATACCTGTACAGTTAACAGTTTGAGTTCCTCAACAACAATCCCCTTTTAACGTGTTATTTATCTATACATGTTAGGCGATTCATTGTTCTTCAAGTAGGCTGGTTGTCCTTTTCCTTAAAAAGACAAATACACAACATTAATACAGTACATTGATTGTAAGGAAATAAACATTTACAGGGAACAAGCCTGTAAAGACTCGTGGGTATCGATAGAACCCGTTTTAATTCCAATATCTTAAGGTAAGTTCAAGGTAACGCTTTGAATATTTCACTGTCAGTTGTCGCCTTACCAAAATGTGGCCCTAACTTTGAAGCATTATTTAGCCCCCCTCCCAACAAGCTATGCCAGCATTGTTGGTACCATGAATACCTTAGATTGTTTAGTTTCACAAGATACCACTACCTTTGTGTAGCTTAAAAAAAAGCATGCCACAGCCTCTTGAAGACAGTAATATTGAACCAATTATTTTTATCGGGAGTGGCAGCAATTCTAACTGGTGGGCCATGGCCAATCCTGGGGGGCACCACTAATGTGGCTTGGATATCTCGTTGTTCTTTACACTGTGGTTGTCTGTGTAAGGAGAAGTCACTGTGATTTTGAGAAATGTGTACTGGGCCATTAAAATGTCTGTCCATTTATGGGGTTCGAAAAACAAGCACAGCGTTGCAACTTAATAATCTAAACTTCTATGGAGGCCCTGTATTCTGATACACCTAAATGACTTTGGAGTTTGTTTCAATCAGAAATAAGAATGTTCATGAAACATTTACAATGACCTCAAAAATAAAACAAGGCTCATAAAGCTGCAGGACACATGACAACCTCTAAAACTACTGGGTCCTACATTTCCCACAATCCAATTCAACAGGTTCTGTCAGTGGACCCTACCTGATTGGTAAATATCCATGTACTTTAAACTCCTAGCAAACCTAAAATAACCCTGACAATATTTTAATTTATAAAATTGCAACAGGCAGAGGAACAGGTCCGAATCCAGCTAAAGGTAAACACAGGCGTTCATTTTTCCTTTCCGTTATGTTGTCGGATAATTATACTAACAATCCGAGCCTATCTGTGTGAAAAAAATGCACTTTCAGTGGACGTATTTTGACATTGTTTGATGCTGTCTGAGTGCCCTATTAATTGATATAGCATGCGCTCAGGGGCTGCAGGCAGGTCAGCCCGAGCTTCGTACTGGAGAAATGTCAAATATTGAACATCCTATCACTCA